CGTTCCCGTGCGCTCGTGCCTCCGCACCACTTGGGCCCCCCCCCCGTGGTCGAGGTGTGCCCCCAAGGGTGCTTTGCGCCGTGTTTCTTCGCAGGCGAGCCGGCGGGCTCGCCGCCCACCAAGCCACCCCGACCCAGCCCGAAGGCCCCGATCTGCCTTCATTTCCAGTGTGGGGGGGGGTCGGGGAACATCGAAAAACACACACCCACACACACATATATATATATACATATATATATATATATGTATATATATATATATATATATATATATATATATATGTGAAGCCCGTACCTTCCAACCCGAGATTCGGGTCTTCGGGTTGGGTTGTGGCGGTCTGGTAGGTAGCCACGGGCGGGGCTCCCGCATTGACCTGGGCGCAGGCAGCGGGGGTCCGCGCCGAGCGGGCGCTCGGTCGAGCCCGCCAGATCCTTCCCCCTGGCCGGCCGGGTTCTTGGGAGGCACGATGAGCCGCCCCCCCCCCCCCCCCCAACTCTTGCCCCAGCTCCTCCTCCTTCTCCTCCTCCTTCTCCTCCTCCTCCTCCTCCTCCCTTTCCTCCTCCCTTTCCTCCTCCTCCTCTTCCTCCTCCCTTCCTCCTCCGCCTCCTCCTGATCCTCCTCCTCCTCCCCTTTTCCTCCTCCTCCTCCTCGTCCCGAGGACTGCCCCTCCCAAGTCGGGGATGGTTTTCCCCGTTCGGGATCAGTTTCTGTCAGTGGCCCAGTCTTACAGGTTCTGGGGCCAGTGCGGCCAGCGGGGGTGTCCTGGGCTTGCGTGCAGCTCCCTCGTTCGCTTGCCTCTGGCTCGCCTGGGCGTCGCAGGAGGGACTCCATGACTGAGAATTGGGTTCAAGTTTCCAAGGTCCTCAGCGGGCACGGCATTGAGTACTGTCTGACGTTGGCCTTTTTCTCCGTCGGCCCCTCCCTGCCCGCCTGTCTCCTCCCCGCGGTCTGTCATCTGGACGCTTCTTTGTGAGAAGCCGAGTGCCTCCCTCACTCAAGCCCCCTCCGTCCATCCGTCCACCCCTCCTTCCATCGTCCCTTCTCTTCCTCCACTGCTCCGTGTCTTCGTCTGCCTCCTGCCCTCCACTCTCTTCTGGACCTCGGCACGCCTCGACAGGATATGAACGGCAGATGCTTCGTCGGGAACTTAGTCTTGCCGCTCTCTCTCTGCGGGTGGGCCGCAATTGGTACGGAAACAATGGGTGCGAAGACCAATCTCAGTTCCTGTCCACTTTGAATGGGACTCGTTGTCGGTGTTCCCGGGGCCTGGCCAGGGAGCAGTGGATATGCATAGATCTCGCCGCCCTACGTGTTGGCGTGCGAGATGGTTCGAGCGGACCCATCAAGCGCACCGTCGGATGGAGCGGAGATTCGTACGCCTGAAAGGGGTGCGGAAAACGTGGACACGAGGCCCCAACAGCACATGCTGCCCTAAGCCGACAGTGGCCGCTGTTGGTCAGCCAGCCTTCTGTCTCAAATGGACAAGACCTGCGAGAAACCGACAGCGAATCCTGGAATCTGGAGGGGCCTGGCCAGGGAGCAGTGGATATGCATAGCTCTCGCCGACCGAAAACGGTCAGTCCTATGAGGGGCTCCTGCGGCGCCCTCAAGAAGAGAGGAGACGGATGATGATGATGATGATGATGATGATGATGATGATGATGATGATGATGATGATGATGATGATGATGATGATGATGATGATGATGATGATGATGCTGATGATGATGATGATGATGATGGGATGATGGTGGTGGGTGGTGGTGGTGGTGGTGGTGGTGGTGATGATGATGATGATGATGATGGTGATGATGATGATGATGATGATGATGGTGATGGTGATGGTGATGATGATGATGATGATGATGCTGATGATGATGATGATGCCTGCTGCTGCGCTGCTGCTGCTGCTGATGATGCTGATGATGATGATGATGATGGTGATGAGGAGGAGGAGCGGAGGAGGAGAGTGAGGACGAAGAGGAACAGGGGGAGGAGGAGGAGGCGGAGGAGGCGGAGGGAGGGGGATGATGATGATGATGATGATGATGATGATGATGATGATGATGATGATGATGATTTGATGATGATGATGATGATGAGGATGCTGATGATGAGATGCTGATGCTGATGCTGAGCTGATGATGAGATGATGATGGGAATGGTGATGGTTGATGTGATGATGATGATGATGATGATGATGATGATGATGATGATTATGATGATGATGAGATGGATGATGATGATGATGATGATGATGATGATGATGATGATGATGATGATGATGATGATGATGATGATGATGATGATGATGATGGTGATGGTGATGGTGATGGTGATGATAATGCTGATGATGCTGCTGATGATGATGATGATGATGTTGATGATGATGATGTTGATGATGATGATGAGATTATACTGCTGATGATGATGATGCTTATGAATATGATGATGCTGATGACGCTGCTGATGATGATGCTGATGATTCTGATGATGATGATGAGGATGATGATGGTGATGGTGATGATGATGATGTTGATGATGATGACGATGATGATGCTGCTGCTGATGATGATGATGATGATGATGATGGTGATGAGGAGGAGGAGGCGGAGGAGGAGGAGGGTGAGGACGAAGAGGAACAGGGGGAGTAGGAGGAGGCGGAGGAGGCGGAGGAGGGGGATGATGATGATGATGATGATGATGATGATGATGATGATGATGATGATGATGATTATGATGATGATGATGATGATGATGATGATGATG